AAAAGTTCAAGGGGTATGAATACTTTTGCAAACCACTGTATGTCATTAGAAAAAACCTTTAGAAACCTACAGGTCATGTGCATAATTTCATTAAAAGGATTCCAAAATCAAAGTTACCCATGTTTCATGCTGAGATTGAGAATACTAACTGGAATGAGGGTATTTCTCTGTCAAATCCAAATCGCATTTTCTCAAAATTTTATGATAAGTTGGAGACAATACAGGAAAAATATATTTCAACTTGTAAAGTTCCAGTCCGGAAAAATAAAATTCCATGGTTGAATGCCTCTATAATACATCTCCTAAAGTTGAAAGCTTCTTCAATGAAAACTTATAGAATATGTTCAATAAACTGGGCTGCGAGGTCAAAAAGTTTAAGAACCCCTGCTTTATTGCGTTAACAGCAAGGTTTCTGAATGAACAATTGATTTTATACCTGTTTTTTTGTAGTCATCACTAGGCACTCTTCAGAGGTTTGGCAGGAAATGTATCCAGCATTTTACGTGTCTCTCACGTCACCTTTCATCAGCGGAGCTCCCACTTCTCTAATGCAATCATCTATATTAGCAGAGGGAATAGCTATCGCCGCCAGGGCCCAGAGGGGAGAGAAATTGTCCATTCATGCTATGTTAATGCGAGCCGTGATGGAGTCAGATAAGGAGGGCTGCGGATGCGAGGGGGCCCACTGGTCGTCTCAGTTCACAGTGCAGCTGTGAGGAGAGAGCGTCGACGGCAGGGGAAAGTGCGTTTAAAAAAAGGAGGGGAGAGACTTGTGTGTTTACGCCAGAGCGGCTGTTAATTGGCAGTTGGGGTTTCAACAATAAGAGCGCTAATTAGGGTTTGGGGGTGCTCGAAGCCTTGCGGCTAATGCGTAGGAATCCGTCTCCATATGTTTGGATAAACAGCGTGGAAAGTTCCAGAGACCAGCTAATGWGGGACGACAAATCAAATCGAACTGGGTTATCCTGAAACGGCGGATAAGAGGAAAACTTTACTGAAGGAATTCATGTATGAAAAATCACAAGCATTTGTATAATTAATAATCAGGAGCATAATTAATTCAGGCTCGGGCACCCACTGCCCTACATTTACAAAACACAAAATTGCAGCGAAGGCTGCAGTCTTCTTATTTACATCCTGGAGACCTAACGGTTGCAGGGCTTGTTTTTAGACGTTTTTAATAGCTCMGACTGAAAACGGTTTCATTTCTCGGTAGCTGCAGCATGAAGTTGACTCGCTGTTAGGATTGCCTAAATGGACCCTGATTTAGACGGCGAGGGCTAGCAGCGCCAGCGGCTTGGCTCGTTTGTCGGGCGCTGGTGAATTACAAGGTTTTTCTCTCTGCTTATCTGCAGACTGTGAAAGTCACCTAACTGGATTAGCYCTTAGCTCGCCAGCTAGGATGAGAGGAGGCCCAGCAGGATGTCTCCGCTGTCCCGCTTAAAGCATGCAGTGCGGACAAAGGGGAGRGTGAAGTACAAAGAGAAYGGAAAAAAAAAAAAGGCAATCAGGGTCCGTCCTTTCTGTTTTTGCGTGACATTCATTTTCAAAGAGCTGGGAGAGCATTTGAGGCTAAAGTTGTTGGACGGTTGATTCTGCTTCATAAAGCTTAGTTTTTGCCACTACGATCAGTTATATGCTGTGTTGAGTTGAGAGCGAAACAAAAGCTTCTTTATTTTCGTTTTGCTTTAAACTCATTGTAAAATAAGTTAGGCCTTTTTTAAATTTGTGTGCCTGCAGGCCTTGAGTTTGACACATATAACTTAGAGCAGGGGTTCTTAACCTTTTTGACCTCGGGGCCCAATTTATTGAACATAAAATGACAGGAGGCCCAGTCAGACATTACTAATGAACAGATCAAAATGATAATTATTCTAAATCTTGGTTTAATTTTTATTGTATTTACATTATGACTAAATTAAATACACTTACATTTTAAAAGTAAAACTCCTGTCAGATAATCACAAGACATGATTATGACAAACATTTTTATATTGTAACCTGCCCATAACAATTATTTCAACAAATACAAAGGTCAGTCAACAGACCACTCAGGCATTCAAAATGTTTAAAAACAAACTACAAAAATCAATTTAAAATGCAAATTAAAATATAGTTGTATYTGCAACTGTATTTGATAATKTTTTGAACTTTTAAAATATTGCATGRTARAAACAGAAGCTGCTCTTCATATTAGTGACAAACTTTGGTGTTTTTTGATGRGTTACYTTCATTTTTGCTTCWACTTTTCATTTAAAWTAGSTTTCCATTCTCRGCAGRTTTCTAAGGTTCTTCTTCTACATGTTAAAAAAAGTTGTTAAACATCTGAGTGGCTCCCTACTGCTACTAGTGGCGAGAAAGTGTATTGCACCTTATTCAAAATCAATGTGGTCCCACGGCCCTCTGCGACCCAAAGTTAAAAACTGTTGTTCTTTTGAGGCCCTCAAGGTGGCGCTTGTGGGCCGCGGCCCATAGGTTAAGAATCTCTGACTTAGAGTAACTAGAGAGTTCAGAAAAGTTGAATTTAGTCTCTCCTGGTGCTACAAGGATATCTTTATATTCTGTTTAGGGTTGGGCATAATCGTATCGTGCAATTATTCKTCAGAAAAACAATCGATTATTTTTTGGCACTTGACGATTAATACAATTAATGCCATCAGGCAGACTGACTGGATATTCCCCCGGTCAGTCCAGTCGGTGCTCCTCTCTGCTTCAAATATGAGAAACATTAAAAAAAGTTCTGTAATTTATTTATCTATCAACACAATTTAAAAATTGATATATAACCTGAAGTCTGTGATTCTGACACAATTTGGAACAGATTTTTATGAAGAGCAAATCTTTCCCACTAAATTGGTCATGTGACATAAGGGTGTCCAGGGGATTAATCGTCAAATTAATCGTTATCGGCTAAATACCACAATAAATCGTGATTAATTTTTTTGCCAATATTGCCCAACCCTAATTCTGTTTGAGTCATATTTTTCAGCCCGTTCAGTTTTCTCAATTTTCTGTGACGTTTTCGGAAGTATTACATCAAATTATCTGCAAAAATTATCTGCAACGAAATTGACAAATAATGTTTGAACTTACAGACTATAATTTCCTCGTCTTAATTCTCTTGTCATTCTGGATCAGACTGGTTCTGGGTCAGATTCTGGCTCCAGCACGTAAGGCTGGATGGACAAGTCTTCTGTTGTTGATATATTTTAATTCAACTGTATATAAAACGTTTCTGCAAGCTAGAAAATGCTAACCCCCTCTCTCAAGCCGGAGTGGACCGGTCTGGAAGCCGGAGGGGGGCGGAGCTTGAAGCATCTTAAAGTAACAGTAGCAAAACCAGCTGCTTTGAGGCACACATCAGAAAAGAGGTGAAAGAGGGGCTGGTAAAGTTAAAATAAGAAACTAAAAACTTTATAAAGGCTCAAAATGAATGTTTTAAATATGAAAAGGAAGCATTTAAAATTAGGATATGTCTATTTTAGGATTCCATCTTTGGTGTGTCCACGTTTGAGTTCTTCACCACAGATTGACTCAATGCAAGCCTGATGGGATGAAAGCTACAAAAGACATAGTTTCCCTTGACTTTGTCACTTTGCTAAAATCAGTGATGGGAAGAGAAGCCAACAACCCAGTGGTCACAATAAATTAGATTTCTTTGTGGAGATGGGAAAACCTCACAGAAAGTCAATTGTCAGTTTCCACCTATCAGTTTTTTTCCCAGTAGATCGGTCAAACCAAAGTCATCCTTTAATAAAAGAGCAYAAGGAAGTGCAAAGTGTTTGAAAGCTTCTTAGATCACAAAAAACAATGGAAACTGAATTATTTGACCACAATAGTAAAATATAATTTAAACAAAATATATATAAGTTGTTTGAAATGTTAACCGTGATAACTTAGTCAAACTTTGCACCTTTTTAAAATCTTGGGAATCTGCTGCCTGTATTTGCACTCTAATAAAATAGAACTGCTTCTATTGTTTTATTTTTGCAAAAGTGTATTTTTTATTTGTGTATTCAGTTGTAGCTTTTTTATATTGTGTGGGTTAGGGATGGACGATAYATCGGCATTAATATCGGTATCGGCCGATATTGATCATTTTTTAGAATATCTGTATCTGTCCGAGCCATGTCAGAGGTCTGGTCATTTATTTACCGTATCAAAAAAAGACCCAAGTGTGATTGTGCGTGTATGTATAAAATAGTTTGTGTGTTTGTGTAATATCGGTAAATATCGGTTATCAGCCATAACAGTAATAATTATATCGGATATCGATTTCGGCTGAAAATTTCATATCGGTGCATCCCTAGTGTGGGTACAAATGGGTCAGCAAGCCTTTTTTATATTTCTCTGAGTTCTGTTTTCATTGGAAAGCACGTTGGTTTGCTTTAAATGAAATTTGGTTTATAAGAAAGGTTTGACTTTGATAGATTAGTCCCCAAAGCTTGTTCAATCAAGCCTAAGCAGACCTCTTGAGGAATGACAAAAAAGAATACAAAACAAAGTGTTTTATAAACGGCACATTTAATCCACTTTTGGCATTCATCAGCTTTTAAGCAGCTTTTATCTTGCCCATCAGGGCTACCAAGAGTTTACGTACAACTTCCACAGCTCTAAAACCGAGGTACATTTTTGCTATTTTCAGTGACAGCCTTGTATCTCAGAGAGAAATCCTTTTGTGCTCTGCCGTAGAGAAGCCACATGTCACTTGTCAGATTTTAGACAATCTTATGTTCAAGCTTTAATCTTCTTCCTTTCTATTTTTGTTGCCTTGTCCTCCCGTCTCACATTGGGTTTCAGACAGCGTCGGGGCGCAGTTTGAACTTTGACGCAACTCCTCCGGTGCTCGCAGCTCCGCGTTTGACATTTCTGACATTGTTTCTAATCTTCCTCCTCTTCCCGCTCGCAGTAACTTGGACACGGCTGTTTACTTCTGTGTGACACGGGGCCGTCGCTCCTGACCTCGTTCATCTCTCGCTCTCTGTCTCCCTCTCGTACAGCGAAAGGTTCTTTGTCAGGCTGAATAAGAGCGGGCTGCCAAAGTGTCCGGAGAAGACGGAAAGACAGTGCACACTATTTGTGGTGAGTAGTGACCGTGGCTTTTTGTTTTAGGAAAGGTCGACGGGGCGCAATTTAAAGCCTGTGTGACGCCCGTGCTGTAAACTAGAAGTGGTTTGTTGACAAAGAATCACGGAAGAATGTTTTCTTGTGTCGTGCATCAGGATTTGGGAAGCAGTGATCTACGAAAAGATGTCTACATCATTGTTCACATTATACGAATAGGTGGGAGTTGCTTTCATCTTTTGAGCACTGTATTTCAGTTTTTTACAAGAGGGCTGTTCTTACCACGGGTACATTTCTGTGTTTTCGTGATCTGAAGGGAGGATGGGAGCAGGAGAGAAGAAGAACATGTGCAGCGTGCAGTACAGGCGGCCATTCGGCTGTGCTGTTGTCAGCATCGCTGATCTTCTCACTGCTGACTCAAAGGATGACCACCTGCTCAAGGTTTATGCGTAAGTTGCTGCGAAGAATTGCAGGAATGCATTTTGCTCTGTTTTTGATGCAGATCTCTTTCAACTAATACCACCCTGAATATTTGTAAAATTTACAGAGTCTTAGCCATTTCTTTGTGTGACCTGGTTAGAAGAAGTTAGGCTCTAGTTGGATTAGTGCAGAAAATAGGATCCTGTTGTTTTACCAACTGAATTCAAAATGACCTCCTGGTTTTTTGCTTCATTAGATTCCACTGAGACTTATTCATCCACCTCACTTGTGTTACAGCTGATTTACTGTTTTGTCTTTTTATCCAAGATGCAACACTGAGAGTGAATGGTACCAAATCCATGAGAACATCATCAAAAAGGCCAACTCCAGGTACAACTTATCTGGATCCAACACTGGTAAGAACCAAACATCTTTTTTGTTTGTGTGCGTGTATATATATATATGTGTGTGTGTGTGTGTGTGTGTGTGTATATATATTGTGTGTGTGTGTGTATACATATATACTGTGTGTCTGTGCGTGTATATATATATATATATATACACACACACATATATACAGTTTATATATATATATATATATATATATATATATACAGTTGCATGAAAAAGTATGTGAACCCTTTGGGATTTCTTGGATTTCTGCATAAATTGGTCATTAAATGTGTTGATCTTCATCAAAGTCACAACAATAGACAAACACAGTCTGCTTAAATCTATACCACACAAAAAATTATATGTTTGCATGGTTTTATTGAACACAGCATGTAAACATCCACAGTGCAGGGTGGAAAAAGGGTGTGAATCTTTGGATTTAATAACTGGTTGACCCTCCTTTGTGCAGCAATAACYTCAACCAAACGTTTCCTGCAGTTGCAGATCAGACCATTCCTCTTCACAAAACTGTTTCAGTTCAGCAGTATTCTTGGGATATCTGGTGTGAATCGCTCTCTTGAGGTCATGCCACTGAAAGAAAATTGTTAAGCGTGTTCGTTTACTCTTTTATGTGCTTGAGCCAAACAGAAAATACACCGAAACGTGGAAATTGAATGTAAAAGAGTTCATGAAACCACACAGAGCAGCTCTGGCTGAAGGCAGTGTTTATTCTCCGTCTGCGTTCAGGCCTCATTTTCCGGAAGTCATTTCAATATAACAGAAACTTCAGGACATGACTCCGCCTATTTCATTGCGTCATCAGAATGGCTCCCTAACACTGCTGAAGCCAGGTCCTCACACAATATTCTCTGTTCTAATGAAGACCAATGGTTCAGTTATGTGTTGAATCTGTGTTCAGGCATGAATCTATAAAATCATCAAGTCAAGCAAAAAAAAAAAACACATTATAAAAGATCTTACTGTTCTCCTAATAAAAAGAATATACCATGTGTAGTGTAATTAAAATCAGTATATAAGCAAACCCCAACGAATTTCTTCACCACAGCATCTCAATTGGGTCGAGGTCAGGACTCTGAATGGTGTTCACATACTTTTTCATACAGCTGTATATATCGGCAGCTTTCTAAAACAAATTAATTTTAAAAAAGTATTTTGAAAGATATTTTGGGGTTAATTAACGGAATTTTACATACACTCTTGTGTTTTGTGCTTTTTGGTCAATTGTCATCATTTAATTTTAACAGTATGAGAATCAACAAGTCCGTTTAGTTTTAGTGTTTGTTTCTATAACTCACTTCGTTGTTTACATTGATCTATATTACTGGACTGGACATCACGTGACTTATGGTGCGCCGCACAGGTGCCATTTTTATGCATTGATTTTTGACTCAGGAACATCCATGAATGGTGGTAAAAAGGGGATGCAGCAAACAGACATGCAAGGATTATGAGAAAGGGATGCAATATTTTACCATAAATTGTCAACAATAGATCACAAGGTTATCATATTTTACAGGTCATTAAAATATTTTTTATTTTAAAAAAATGTCGGAGATTCAGAAAGTTGGTCAGTTATGCTGTACTAGCTTGATTTTGACAACCTTATGTCGGGTAAACCAACGAAAAGACAAATTTGCTGTTCCAACAAATTATTATATTTTTTATTAATATTGTTATTATGTTAGGATAACATTGTGAGAGGTAAATATAATGGACAACATTAAAATTACCTTTACTACTTCTAGGCTGAACTGTGTAGATACGTATTACTGGTACTGATGTTCTGTCCAGTCATCATATGGTATATCCTGTAGTTTGTGATTATATATCAGAGTAAAAAACTCCGTGACTTTTTTCTTCCACCGTATGTTTCATAAGTTAAGGAGGGGCCGACCACATTTATTTTATGACCAGCTGGAGGAATTTGTCTTTAGTCACTTCAGCGTGAATGAAGAACCAGGAAACAAATGCAAAATTAGAAATATGTATTTTTATGACACATGACTCAGTTTTATGGGACGGAAAGGGGCTTCTACTGTAAATACGTTAGTAAAAACCTGTAATGAAAAGTTCCCAGRGTGCTTATAAACTTTTCTCTTGAGCAAATACATGTTTTTTTTTTTTACAAATCACAACATCAGCAATTTTCTCAGCTTTAATTTAAGTCATATATTTTTGGAAATCGGATAAGAAATGAGCATGCTATGAATATTTTTTGTGACAGATTGACACGCATCCCGCATTGAAACTCTACTGTTTTGTTGACATGACTTAATGCATAGCAATGGCTCCTATGACGGCACGCTGCTAGCTATAACGGCTATAGGCAATGTCCAATCCAGTAATATAGATCAATGGTTGTTTACATCATATCAATGTTGGGTTGACTCTGGTATAAAGGTGTTGGTCAGGTGTTGTTCGGGGCCATTTCCTTAGTCTCTGAAGTGAGGGGGATTCCAGAAATGGACCAGATCTGAGATATGTGTGGTAAACACTGCAATAGGGGTGTAAGAAAATATCGATACACTGAAATATCGCGATATTTCGTTTCCCGATACTGTATCGATATTCTAAAGCCCTGTATCGATTTTTTATTAAGGTTTAAAACGTCAACTTTCCTGCCAGCCATTCATTTTTATGTTGTAGTTCAGCCTCTGACTGCTAGTTGGCAGCGGTGAGCCAGCCATTTGGCTCCTCTACCTCTTGAGCGCCAGAGAGCAAGGGTAGCATTAGCATTGTGAGTAAACATTAGCTTCATGCTCCGATAGCTGAATCTGAGCGGAAAAGACCGACACCCTCTGCCTTCTAAGCTGAGGTAAGGTTACAAACAGTTACTTATTTGTCAGAATGTCTGTATTTTAAGACAAATTAAGTGTCTTGTGCGCTCTTTTTTCCAACGTTACGGAAGGCAGGCATGCATATATAGCGCATGCATCTAGCGTCCCGAGCTCGGCACTCCCCCTGTGACATAAAACTCTGTCTGTTGGTCTCAATGTCTGGCTGATCGCATCARAGTCCATATACTTTAAGTTTATCCTGCTGTGTTCGCTTCAAAAACAGTTTAACTGTGTTGTTTAGCTTCTCCATTTATTTACTGTTTATTTTCGGGAGCTGCCCTGCTGTTCGACCTACAGTTATGCAAATCACGTTCTGGATGCAGGTCAGCTGATCCCAGAAACTGTGTGCAGCAGCTTGTATAGTTTGCATGTTCTCCTTGTGTACCTGGGTTCTTCGACAGGTCAAGAACCTGCATTTTTCTCATGTTTATAATATCAGAATCAGTTTCTTTCACAACACCTACATTTCTAACAACAAACTTAGCAGTTCAGTCTGGTCAACAAAGTGTCATTTTCCTGTCAGGGCTCTTCTTCAGCATTCAGTTTCCTCTTTAGGGGAGCAGAATGGCTTTAACATGCTTGCGTCTGCAGGAAACCTGCGATATGCACTCAGACGATTTATATAAATAGCTGTATCTGCATCATGCCGAACAACAAGCATCAGCAGTTTCCCATAGCAACAGGTCGGTGGAGGACTGGAACGTTCAGTCCCTCAGATGTCAAAGAAAAATCATGTGTCATATGAGGAGATTTGTTCTGCAGCGAGATCCAGATTTCTGTGCAGGAAAAAAATAAAACACAGCAGAAGTGAGCGTACTGTGTGGACTCACTTTGGTGGTGTATCACCTGTAAAAGATAATTTCATGAGGAAAATGACCAAAATAGGGATTTCATATCATATACTTACAAACAAATCAAGAAGTTGAAAAAAAAAACTACATCAAAATTCAGAAGCGAAACTGGGAAGTGCTGCTGAAGTGAACCTAAAACATTTAAGGAACTGTGTAATCACAAAACAAAAGTAGCTAATTGAATAAGCATCTCTGCTAAAGAGAGGACAATAAAACCTCATATATTTATATGTAAATATTTGGAGTGTAGGCTATAATTTACAGGGTTTTTTTGATCACTTAATCTATTTCAAGATGTCCGCCACAGTTGATTGACTTTAGCAAAACACAAAACGGCTACAACTCAATCAACATGACAGATAGTTTAGTGTGATGGTAGCGTCATCCCAAAACTTAGGGATTCAAATAATGCTAATTATATTAATCTTGTGTCAAGGCAGCTATTTGGACAGCATTGATTCCAGAACAAATTTCCCAAAAGGGCGATAAAGTCTAATATGTCGTGTTTCATTGTTTTCTATCAAATCATATWACATGATGTCATGTTGTCGGGAAAAAAAGACATAAAAATAAAGATGGATAAAAAACAATATCTAAAAGTAATTGCAATTTTGTGCAAAAACTGTGATTTCCTGTGGAACGTATTAGCACTTGGAGTTTGGGTTTAGGATGACTCTCAACTACTACTCCACCAAATTTTAACTTAATATCTATAAAGTTACCCAAGCTGTATTCATTTTTCTGTCCAGTTAGCTTGAATTGGGTTGACTTTAATGAGTTGTTGAAGTAGTTTAGGATTACTTTCTGAGAGTTTCAGCTRCACAAACAATAAWTTTTAGTTCATGATTTTCAAAATTGAATGAATTAAAGCCTTATGTATGCATTTTAGRAAATATTAACGGTCAGTCAGACTGTTAGCTATTATTTTCTGCATATTCCAATAGATTCATGTAATAGTTTGGTAACAGACGCACAGGCTGKGTCCAAATTCAGAGGCTGGGTCCTTCCAAGAACCTGGCCTACCCGGTCTAGGTGGGCCGAGTCCTTGATCGACTGCGAAGACTGGAAAGAAGTGTCTGTGAATTTGGACGGTCTAGCCTCCCGACCTTAGCCTGGCGTACGTCCTGTTGCCTAGAAATGTTGACGAACCTAAACAGGAGCAAAATAGATCAAAATTATCAAAATATTAATATATTAGTATTTATAACATCCCAAAACAAAGCAATTAGGTTAAAGGCAATATATGAGGAACTAACGGACCCGCCATAGGTGCACATTTATTTCTCTATACCAACTCGTTTGATTTCTAACAAGAATAACCTTAAAAACACGTCCATACAACCGCTTGAAACTTTCAGTTATTATGCCGCCAGATTTTTATCAAAAATTGTACTCCTTTCTCTYGCTTCATCCGCCATTACGAGCAAAAAAAAAAAAAAAATCTCCTGTCGGCCTGCAATGTATTATGGGATAGGATGGGCCGAGAAGGATCTATCGGACCCGTCCCTCAAATTGGACAAAAGGACGCATTCTGCCTGTGAATTTGGACACAGCCGTAGACAGTTTGGCAGTGGGTATTGACGATAATCTTTTTATTACATCACCAGAGTACAAAAGAGGCTTAAAATGGTACAAAAATGGTAAGTTTTGGGGCTTTAGTGTAACAATGYTGTGCTTTTATTGTTTATTTATTTAACATCTTACTGCAAAATTACCATTTCCTGAAAATATGTCCTGATGCGTCTCAGTAGTCCAGGTAGAAAAAATCAAAAAGAAAAAATAAGTAGGTCCTCTGGATGGGTTCATTTTTAGTGAAACGTTTCGTCTCTCCTCCAAGAGACTTCTTCAG